CAGATGCCACCATTACAAAAAATGCGAAAAATTTTCCCCGGTATTGTTAGTAATACCGTACATTAATACCTACTGAGTACTAACTTTAGCTACTTAGAGTTACTTACAGTCAACGCAGTTTACGGGCATAAACGTAATTCACTACGCTATTTGAGAGCCTCGGGGGATGTAGGTGCTTGCGGTAAATCTAATAACATTGTAATGCTGTTACTAACGTCCCTCAAAGTTACCTCCGTAAGTTAATCCTCCTTTCCAAGCCCACCCCCCCCCCCTACTCCACCCCCTCCTCCTGTGCATGTTATATGCTGCGTTACGGCACGTTTGTCATGCCGAAAATTTCTAACGCGTGCACTGGCTTGTGTCACTCGTTCCAAGCTCCCTCTCCCCAAAATTTGTTGGATTAAAATGAAAGCTTTTGAATGAATGTAACTTCAAAAGCTCTGAAGCATTTCAATTCGGTGAAATATTTCGCTCATCCGCAGCCGCTCAAATTTTTTATCTTCGTTATGAGCTTTTTATTTCTAACCAATTCACAAGTTGCTTGTTATTGTTCCTTCCAAATGAAAACTTTGTAATCGATCATTTTTTTTTCTGTACAAGTTGTAAGGATTAATGAACTTATTTTCAAGTATACCGCCACCACTCTAAGACAACAGAGGCCCATGTCACGAGTCAAGGTAAGCTAGTCAGCCTGAGGGTTGCTTCTCAAACTATGCCCGTCCCCCCTCTCCGTCTTCTCTTGGCTATTCGCGCAAAAGTTCAACACAATTTCATAACATCGGTGCTGTGGGATCCAGAATAATGGGAGGGATAGGCAAGGGGTAGCTGGATGGAGGGCGGAGAAATGAGTGTGGTAAGGGTAGTGGTAGCATGGTAGAGAATGTAGAGTAGAAGGATGAATTTGTTCTAGTGTGAGCTTACATGGGTTGCGTCGAGCAACAAAGGTTTCTCGAGTGTGGGTTGCTTGCAACGGCTTTATCAAACTAAACTGTATCAGTCCGATAAGAAGTTTAAACTCAACTTTCAAACCCCACAATTGTACACAAAATTAACGAATAACTTCATCCATCATATGTCTCCCCGCATTGTCCCCCTCACGCAAACCTCAGTCACTTTCATTAAAATTTTTCACATTCAAATGTTCCAGCTATTTCCATGGATAAAACAAATGCCACTTCCGCTTTGATCTGAAAATCACATCGCGTTAGTTTGTGAATGCTGTTGTGCTACGTATACAGAGTTTGTACTGGGCTTAATAATTGCTGCGTTCCACCATCCCTCCGCGTGTGTCATAGGCCAGAGGAGGGCCGAGGGGTTGGCGGATAACCGAATCTTTACCCCCGTGCGGGGTTGGAGGAGATAAAAATCAGTAATTAGCCGGGACCATTATAATGGCCGTTTGAAAAATTAGCGAGTAGTACCAAACGATACAACGGGAAGGGGGAGGAGGAGGGGGTGAGAGAAGAGGGTGAATGAGGGGTGGTAACCAGCCCTGTGGGCATAATCCTACGTTTACTATAACGTATCCAAGCTCTGTCTCTGATTTATACGGGTTTGCTATTAATTACCCCCACCCTCTCTCACATTCACCACTGCGTTAGTTGCTCGCACGTTAAACCTGCAAGCTCTCCTCCGCCCCCTCCTCGCCCCTAATTTTCCCCCACCTTTTCCCTCCTTGCCCCTCAATCTTGCATATACGCGTGTTTACCGGGTGCTCGGTATACTTAGGTGTTTACATCGTGAAATAATTTAGGCACCCGAGGCTTTGCCGTTGTACGTCAATAGACAGAAAGCTCCGGCATCGATTTACCTCTGCAATACATTTTACCGATTTAACACTATCGTTTTTTGGGTTAGCATGGATGGATGAGATATGTTATGCTTGTTTTTAGTCAGAATTTTAAAGGAAATTGGAAGTATAGGATGGGATGTTTGATTGAGAATTTTATCCAAGTCCAAGCAAATAGCTTCTGTTTGGGGAAAAACATTTTTCTCCATTGGGCCTGCATTTCGCTACGAATTTCACAGTGAAGTCATCGTTAGATAGCCAAAAACGTTATGATGAGTTTTGGAACGTTTTTGTTTGGCGTTCATTTAACTTATGAAATTTGATAGCTTCTGTTGAACCAATCATGGAATATTTTCAAAGCTTCAAACTGTCAGGGAACACAAAGAATATTACGTCAAAGCTTGATGAACATCAATCGAGCTTTCCACAGGAAAAATCAACATCGAAAATATTCACATTTAATCAACATTCTTTTTACTCTTCCGAGCAATTAAATTAAATGTCCGGATTAATCGTTCGAGTGTGGTTAAATTAGTTTGCATTTCAGCTTCATCCGATTTTTGGGGCAATCTAGCGTGGCGAGAATTTACCCCACTATCTCTTCCCACCCTGCCGCCCTTCCCTTGCTCGCACTTTTTTTCTACTTGTATACAACACGTAGATTCTCTCTGACGCTTAACGGTAATTTGCGGACAGGGTCACTGCTGATTCTCCTCGTTTCTGTATTTCTCTCGTGCACTCATATCCTATATCCATCTCCACACCCTTTCAACCCCTACCAAAGCAAAGCATCGAAACATATGTGGAATTCTGTTTGTAGTTGTTTCGTGGGGGAGATGCACGGCTCGCGGAGCTTTTCACGGAAAATTTATCCGTGGTCACGTCCCGTAACAACCAACTTTCCTCTTTTTATTTTATACTGCTCGTATCACAGCTCTCTTCACCCCTCTTTTTTATTTATTGCTGTGTTTTTACTATTTCACTTCACACAGTTTAAAAAAATGTGAAATTTTGCATTATTATTATTGTTTATGTGTCGGTTCACATGCATGTAGGAAAAAGTTGAAGATAAATTATGAAATAATTTATGTAATTCAGGAGCACAAATTGTTTTAATCTATTGTTCGGTCAATATCCGGGTATTATATTCGAAAAAAACAATCATTGGTTATCCAATAATTTTTACTATAAATTGATGCAGTGAAAGTAAACGAAGATTTTCTTTTACTCAATTCTGATAAAATTCCACTTCTGCTCAATTTCATCACGTTCAGATGGATTCGAATTTGTAGATGTTTTCTTCCGAGGGAATAAAACATATACGATATCTTCAAATTCATACCGAAACGGAAATATACTTTAATCAAGTATCGTTTATAATTGATTCCAGTTTATTCGATTTAACATACCGCCATTTTTTTTTATTCCAAAACACACTATTTTGATACGCTAAACTATGAACTTTTGTTCTTGTCACTCGATTCATAAGGCAACGCTTCACGACCACAAAAAATATTGTTCGTCACTTGACTGAAAGGAAGTTTTCTGTGTAGTTATGAAAGAAAAAACAATGTGGACCGAGGAACGGAAACAGGACATTGAAAATGGCGTGTTTACGACGGTTCGGCTTCGTTTTGAGTGCAGTAATACACGTGCCGGCCCTATTTTCCTTCTTTGGTGCACAATAAACTATTCTGACGATTGTGTCCACATTTCTGGACTTCGTTCGAGATAATGTCCATTCAACTCATCTTCCCGCGAAATGAACAATCCACCCTGGAGCGGGCGGATATATAAAATATACATCAGATCTATCGTTCACACCGTAATACTGAGGTATATTCGGCGTATACCGAAAATATGTATAAAATATATCGTGTCGTCGAAAAAAGAATATGTAGCAGATATGTATTACGGATATATATTTTTGGGGTGATTGTTGAGAAACATTGCTTGAATTCTGACCACCCAGGGAAATATGGTAGAGCCCAAGCAGCAAGTAGTAGTACACCAGAGTGCGCCAGACATGGTTAGGCCATGGAATCTAGGCCGCAAGCTCTCAACCTCATGGCAACCATGCCCATCTCGCCCTCTATTTGGCTTTCGCGGCCCATTTGCTTTCCTCTCTCTCGTCCGCCCACCCCTATCCAACACCACTTCACGAAACAGCCGAATTTGGGGGTGAGTGAGCGGGCGATCATGTCGAGACATTCAAGACATAACAGAGAGAGATATGCATCATTAGATTGGCTATATCATGTCTGCCAATCGTGGAGGCTCGCAAGCTCGTGTACCGACGTGACGGTATGCGAAAGGGTCCTTCATACCTCTTGAATTTTCAACATACCACCCAGTCTACTACAATCGATCCTGAATTATGTTGTCAATCTATTGGCGGTAGCGATTTTTACGTTTTTTTTTTGCTTCATTAAAAAAATTTATTAATTTTATTTTTTCCATTTATCACAAAAAATTGCGTGTGTTAAAGAATGTTGTTGGTACGATATTGTTTAAATGTGCAGTTCGCGGGTCAGAATTTGTTTGAGTGTTTTTCAAGTGAAGAAAAAAGAAATGAATGGAGTGATTTGGGGAAGGGATGAGCCATAGGAGAGTGTAATCGCTCTGACCCCACGTCTCACCCTCCGCCACCTTCAACCCCTCGTCTGCTATTTATTGCCCGCACTCGCCCGGTTCACAACATAAATATGTTTCACCTCTCCGGACACTTCTAAATCCTTCATTCTTCTTTCCCAGCAGTCCCCTATACAAGTACTACAAATTTCAAATAATGCTTTCTACAAAAATTGAAAGCTTTGTTGTAATGAATAACCCCTCCATCGTTTCTCCGTATGTGAAAAAATGTGTGGTGAAGGGCTTGAAAAAAAAATTGTTTAATGATGATTTTAAGATTCTTGAGTAGATCACGGTGACGTGGAAACTTGAGTCACTTGTGATATACGGACGCCAGATCGAGGGTTGTTTTAAGGGGCTGTTTTCGAGTGAATCTGAAGGGGTGGGGCACGCCGTGATTTAAAAAATGGGCGGAGTGGTTTGAGGGCTTTGAAAGATAAAATAAAGACCAACTGTTGAATATCGAGCTCGGTGGTAAAAGTATCCTCACTCACGATTTTATGTGATTTTCTCATTGGAGCTTTTGAAAATTATTTTCAGTAATCGACAGTTAATCGAAAGTCAGTTCAAATAAACTTACCCCTGCAAGAAAAAACCAACTAACGATAATTTTGATGCCAATTACACCACAAAATAGAAGAGCTTTTGAAGCTTTGCAATTATATTTTTGTCAATATGGGTTTAAAGTCCGTAACACACGTGCGATTCGGTCGCGCTGCACGTGGTGTTTGTCCGTTTCTGTCACGCAGTGAAAGCTCCGGACACTCAGTTCGCTTGAGCTTTTTGAGTCTGCGCGTAATGCGATTGGCTAGTGGGCGTTGACTGCGCAAGAAAGTGGGCGTCAACAGAGTTGATGGGGCGTTTGTGAAATCCAGGTGGCGATAGGTGGCGTTCATTCACGGGGCTGGCACGTCTTTTGGCACTGGTCAAACCCGCGTCGCAAGCCCTTATTGCACTACACGCCTTACATACATTTACCATCTCAATTTTCCTCCTGCCCCACCCATCTTGTGCTTTCGCTTTCTTTTTCCAGACTGTCCATGAGGTGAATTGACTGGCGCCCGAGGGGGAGTGAAACATCGCAACAGCTACTTCGTGTGTTTCGAAATTCAATTGGTATTATGGATGATCAATACAATTGATTCATCATTTCAATCCGCAATTATTAACTATTATTTCTATAAGAAATTTTTCTAGTATAGCCGTCATTTCTTGAATGAAAAATTTTTTAGGACTATTATCATGAAAAATTAGGAAGAATTAGATTTCGAAATAGAAAACCAACTATAACAGTTTCCATAAAAAAAAATTCCATATGTATTTTGAGGAAACATTTTTAGAAAATTAGTTTTTTTAATTCTAGAGAAGAAAAATTGAAAAATAATTTTTTCCTTGTTCCTCTTATACTCAAATCACTTAGGCAGAAATTGATAGCAATTTTAATAAGGTTTCTGAAAGCATCTCATTGAATTCATTATTGTCACATCAAGAAAAATTTGTAATGAAACTCAGCCTCATGTTTGATAACCCTATAACATAGTTATTCTGAAGGGCTTTTTCCTCCACATTATAGCAAAAGATAGAATAGGTCTGGTGCGAATTACATAATTATATAGTAAAATTTGTGGAAGTTTTCATCTTTTGTGTAACTTTTTTTAAATTTGGGGGTAAATTAATCAAATAAAAACTTCTATCGATTACGCAAGTTGTTCCGTCATTTTTTACGAATTTTTTTAACTGCGTAATGTATGATATTACTTTGAGAAAGGAATTCCAGCTTATGTACGTGATATAATTACCTTTTGCATAAGTGATACTTTTGATATAATTACTTTCATGCTTTTGTATTGGGCGTGAAACTGTGATTTTTATATCTCACCGTTATGTCACGCTCTATAATTCATCTTCATTGCTAATTATCGTAGCATTTCATCTAATTTATAAGGATATGATGCATATCAATAATTGTTATGGTGTTCTTTCCACGAGTTCGTTATGATGCACCGCTTGATTTTTTTTCATTCCATGATTTTGGTCAGAAGTTATCGATGATAACCTGTCGAATTTCAGATGTCATATTTTCTATAGTAGTAATTCAGGTTAAATAAAATCCATAATAACCTTTGTTATTCTCGCAAATATTCATGTATTTCATTTTCACTGCATTTCATATACAAACTCGCCGAATACGCTAAAAAACAGTGCGGGAATCGTATGATTGGTGTCATTTATACCGAATTTATGAGAGTTTAATTATAATTATAGAATTTTTAAGCTTATTGATGAGTGTCATATGCAGTCCCAAATAGCAAAGGGGAGAAAAGAATTATAGAAGAAATAGTCAATATTATTTTTTTTTATTTACATTAAAGTGATTCGCTTTAATTACAACCAAAGTAACTAGCGCGTCCAAAGGGTGCATCCGACTAATCTCGGAAAAACACATGTCGTCATGGGGAAAAAAAATACATGAATGAAGTTTTCTTCTCTCCTAGTATTTTGTGTTATCATAATTTTACTTAAACTATGTCAAGGTATTTCTCAGTGGTATTCAATTCGGATAAAGTAAGTATAGAAAGCTCAATTATTCTTGATAATAGACAATTTTCTCACAATGTCAATTTGCCTCGTCAGCTGCCATTAATCTTTCAAGAAATGCGACGAACAGGTAATGGTGGAATGGCTGATAGCTGATAACTGAAGTAATGTCAGAATCATCAGCTTAATTATTCGAAAATCTGAGTTTGATGTTTCTATTCCCGAGAAATTGAGAGGTGGGTTTTAGGATACCTCTCTATAATTCACAGATTCGCGTCTCGACAATCTGCACCCTATTATTGACCAATTACTGATTATTGGGGTATGTGGTAATTCAATATCGATCATTTTCAACGAACTCCGAACCGAGCTTCAATTAAGCTTTTTCCCTGAGAAGTATACATCTTTCAGGAATATAACATTCGAGGGCCCTCGAAAGGGTAACGCTTCACAGCAGAAACAGTAACATACATAAATGCACACAAAAACCACATATAGTCCGTTTTCCACCGTCGACTCTCACTAATCTTTTACCCTAGAAACATCGCTGAATGTATCACTATAAATTCTATAGGTCCTTACCAGCTAAATCCGGGACATTCGGATAATAATAATCACTTTCCGCGGTGAGTGCATTCAGCTGCTCGGATTGGTTTTTCAAATCTAAATCAAACTTCATCCCACCACCCAATTTGAGCAAACGTCAGATCCCTAAAATTACATTTACCTTAATTTGTATTTAAATCCATTCATACCCCATCGCAGCACAAAGACCCACTCTCCCCTATTTTTCCTGGAATTCGTTTTACCCTGCAAAAAGGGGGGACACAATTTCCCGGGTAATCGGCCAATTAAATTGGACCATTCAAATCAACCTGTAATCCACAGACTCGTGATTTAACAAGCGGAATCGATGAAAATCACCGTTATTTCACCAAGTTCTCTTTCTCTAATGAAACTGAAGGAAATAAATCGTGCTACATAAAAGAGAAATTTAAATACAGCAACCAACTTCATATCGACAGCTATTTGACAGAGTTCGGGTGAACTCGAGGTCATTCGGAATTGGGGACACTTGGCCCTAAAATCCTCGATAGGAGATCTCAACAAGTAACGATGTCTTTTTCATTGTGTTGTGATAGACGCTCAACAGTTACTTCCGACTAAATCATCGAGTTAATTTGCACTTTAATTCGCGTTCAATTTTTGCGTTATTCACCAATTATTCCTGAAATTGGTTATTCAACAATTAAAAAACAATTTACCAAGTTACAGACCATCTTTTATATAATAGATAATGTCAGGCGGTGTAAGCCAGATCAAGTACATAGACCAGGAAATCAGTTGATGTTACCTTTTCAAAACTCGATTTAGTTTATGGAAGTAAACCTGTAAAAAAAATTATGGAATTTAAATCCCTACTAAACATAACTATTTAATGTCCAATTGTCGTTATTATCCCTAAAATTACTGCAAAAACTCTAAATTACAAAAATTGTACTTTCCCGCATTTTGCAATTAATTCGTTTTTTAATTAGGAAGTCTGATTTGTGCCAAAAATGATGGTTTTCAATCACGTCTTGGGCAATATAAAATTGAACGATTTCTTACAAATTTGGCCATGCAATAGCTTAACCATCGTGGCTCAATTTTGAGAAACGAGCATTTTTAGCCTTTTATTATAAATCGCAGAAAAATGTGAATGAAACTACTGAACTTTTTAAACAAGGTCAGTCCAATACCTGAATAAAAACTGAAATGGTGATGATCGGACATCTAGGCAGACTTTTTCCCAAGTAAGACTAAGTCGTTTATTGCCGTCAATAAATGGTCGTTTTTCTCAAAAGTTTCAGTGAAAAGTTTCTAATTTTGTCAAAATTTCGATGCCAAGTATATTTTTATAAACTCATCGTTTCTCAACGATTTGAGCAAGCCTTGAACAATCAAAATATTTCAATCGCATGTAGAATTAGTGAAAGCAGATTTTTCATTAGTTGCTGGGGTACGAATACAAATGCAAACTCTTAAGTTTTCTCTCTTTGAAATACGCGGCGATTCCTCTGATTGCTCACGCTTATCTGCAGATATTCATGTATTTTCAAATGACATGATTAATAAAAGTTAAAGTTAAAGGAGGGCTCCGCAACCTTCGGGTAGCTGGAAGTCATCCTATTACTATGCGTTCGGTTAATCTTCACATTCGAATGGTCATTCAATTAAGCAGCTTTTATCTGTGAATAACTCCCACCGAAGAGGGGTTTACCTATCGTCAATCACTAGACCATTGTTTGGTTGAGATCTAGCGTGCATACTATTGCAACCCAATAATGGGCAAAGATTGGTACAAATCATGGAAATCCATGCATTGAACGCCAATCTTTAACCACAGTATGGATTAGCATTGACAAACCAATCATCCGTATACCATCTCTAGGTGAATAATAGGTCAAGAGTAAAAATGCCGACGACCCATGTAGGGTTGTACAAACCGGCCACGCATTAGGCGAAGGTCGGCACCAAGTCACCCGATGATCGGCGCCGATGACCGGCCAATCATCTGCCGATCATTGGAGCGTTACCTCATGCCGCTCAACGGTACCGATATCCGCCCAATATCGACGCCGTATCATTGGCCAATCACTGTTCATGCAACTGGCCAATTATTGAAGTATTATAAAACCAATTTACGAAATAATTTTTTAGAAAATTACGTTGGTTTTTATCAACTTTATTGTTCATAATAAATTGGATAAACATAAGTAGTACAGTAAGTGATAATGTTTTATAAAGCACGAGGATCAGCCATTGGATTTAGGCGATTTTTCCGGCCACCCTCACGATCGGTCCACCTCGCCAACCAATTTCCTACCTTCGTAATGAGTTTATGGGTGTCGTGGAACTTCTTTGTCATTACCACTGAAATATTTAAAAAATTGAATTATCATCGCAATACTCAATGAATCACGTTAAAATGAATGAAAAATTAATATTAATTATATAAAAGGTGTATTGCTGATACCTTCAAAGCATGCTTAAGTGGTTGTATCCTTGAAACTCCTCTTCGAGGGTATACCACGTTTTTTTGATCCTTGGCCAGAGTACTCGCTCTGGAAAACTTTAGTGAAGATAGCAGGAAAACGTTTGCATATACATGATGCAAGAGATGAGCAATTTGCG